GTGCTGGATGGCTAGGTTGGACACTTACATGTATGTTTTAAAAGTTCACGGACTGACGTGATTGCGTCTGATTGGTGGAGATAATCAGTTCCACCAATCATATATCATTACGTCACTTCCGTGACATTTTAAAACGTAGATATAAATGTCCAAAGTAGCCGTCCTGACGTACTATTGCTGCAGGTACTGATATACTTTTGCAGAAATAATGCTATTTTGGTCATTTAAATAAAACAAATGAGCAGAGTGGCCTGTTTTGAAAAATTTAGACATTCCATGTGCAGGTACTTGATTTGGTGTGAACATTGCGATATACGCCAATCACGAAAGGTGTATAGTATACTTTTATTCCACACGCGATTAATATTGTCTCCAAGTGCAATCCCAATCCCCAATTTTTTACTGTAAAAAATGGCGAAATACATCACAGAACCAGTTCAATCTACATGCCCCCATTTCCTATCACTCAATTGCGTATTACGTTATACAAAAAGTATGTATTTTTAAGGCGTGGCATGGTCAACTGAACCGCCGCCCATTTCTATAGAATGTTATCCACGGTATTTTCTTTCATAAGCAAGTGAGGCATCCGACAAAGCTAAATAAACCAGAGACGTTTAGATATTGCAGCTTGTATGGTGTGCTTTCTAAAGATGGAGCTAAGCGTTAGTTGCGAATAATTGATGGGCGTAATCTAAGATAAAATGGCTCCGCGTGTTTTGGGGCCTTTCTGTGACGACCCTACTCTACCTTTAAATAATAGAATAAACATTCTGAAAATGACTATGTGTGATGCTGTTCCTTTTTGCCTACTGTAACATCTAGTAATATATTTATAACTTGATTGGTTCAAAACTGTATTCAGAACGGTATTATTGGCGTTACAATTTATTGGTATCCTTAATCATTAAAGTTTCAAATAGCCGGATATGGCAGCACATTAATTTTTCTAATAGCCTGCTCTATTACTTTTTAAGGACCTAAAGTCTAGAAACATATCTTACTCATTCATCATATTATTCAGTCATTTTTCATGAACAATATTGGAGGCGGGAAAAGCTTTTTTTTAATTTCGTGTTTTCAGACATGGTTCGTAGGAGGAGCCTGTTCAAAATGCTAAGATGCCTGACGAGGCACTTACCCCTAAAGTTCACATAATTACCTGCAGGGTGCGGCCGTAAGGACCAGCACATTTGGCATGTCTTGAAATATTGGAATACCAAACTTGGATAACTGACACATGGCACGCGATCGTCGTTTTTTAACAAGTTTCATGTCCATTTTGTAGAACTCAACTTAGAGCAGCCAAAACGAAAGAAACGAAAAACGGCGGCGGTGAACGAAAAACGGCGGCGGTGAACGCGAAAATGTTGAGAGCCTCATGGAGGGGCCCGCGACGAGCAAGGTAACTACGATAAGTAATGATTTTATCAAAATATAAGAAGAAGCAATGCGACGCTCAACATTTTTTAAGCTACCAGTGATTATGCTTTACCGTTTAGCTGCAACTCCTCGAAAACTATTTTAGTAATCATTAAAAACATTGTGCATACTAGGACGCTAATTTCTACAAGACTAAAGTCAATACGTCACACGTTACAATATGGTCTTCACACTATCTTAATGAATAATATTTTAAAACATTTTAGCCTGTCCCAAAATAATATATTTTAGTGATAAAGTAAACATAGTCGAGCAGTGTTATCTATCATCTTTTTGAGTGGAATACTTCATATCGGGAAGAAGTTATTTCACTCATAACCATTTCAGTCTGGAAAGTTCTGAGCGCCGTTCATTTTGGATTCAATCTAAAAAATTTACCGAACCCTTAATAAAAAAAAAAAAAAACTTCAACGTCTGATTTGCGTTTTAAAGCACACTTGAACATTGCGATCCAAAAGAAATAACGCCGGAGCCTGAATGTGCCTGGAAGACTGCCTCAGAAATCTGCATCCTGGTGGGCGTGTAAAAATCAAAGGACATGCGGAAGTGTGGTTTTCATCTTTATATTTAAGAAATGACTAGAAAAAGACATAACGAAACAAAATGACGTCAGGGACATGCATTGCGCAACTATCATACAATACATGCGTGGCCTTATGGGCACTGTTTATTGCCAAAGTTTGAATAAGTTAGCGCCTCCTTTGCGTGCGTGAAATGTTTTGAATTTAAGGTGCATCAATAGAAAAAATGCGGGAGAAATATTCGTCGCATCCTTTTTTTCCACGTCAGCTGCGAATCATTAGGACGCGCACTGAATCTAACATAACCGTAGTATTGTATTGTGACCAAGGAGTGAGGGTGCAGGTGCGAATGTCAAGAGGAATATGCAAGACAATCTTGCAGAGTTGGTTTGTTTGTTTGCTTGACGCGTATGTGTTGCACTACGTGATGGGAAGGTCTATCGCTAGAGGTTGGGAGTCATCGAGCCTAAAACTTCAAACAGGGCAGAGTCAAGTGTAGGTTTTTACCAACTGACCTAACGGGAAATTTCCGCAACCTCGCATTTATATCATGTAATTCAATAGCATCACGATATTTTTACATCTGATCTAATTTGAAGGTCTACTCAGTATTTCACAAACGGCATTATATTTTGCCACAAGACTGGTGGTGTGCTCGGGACAAATGTACATAGATTGTAGCATATGACATCATTGCGAGATTGTGTACATTTTTCATGAAACATACAGTACGGTTGTAGCATGTCGTTAGGGACATTGCTTGTTTCGACGTTTGATACATGAAACAAGTTTAGCATGTATGATAGCAATGTCGCTACCATATTTTTGATATACTTCTACAAAAGATAGCCATTACTCGCGCTAAGGTGCGTTTTCAAGTGGCATTGAGCGAAACAACTTCGAAACATACTACTCTCGTAACAAAACCGTGATCGCGCCGTTCGTATTTAGAAATTTAAATATAGGACTGCATAAAATTTCAGTAATATTCTCTTTACAGCAGCAAAAGTGGTCTATTTGACACTGATACTTAGTTTGACACACTGACACTTATTTTCTCTCAAAACAGACAGTTCAGTAAAGACACTTTTAGGAAGGGTTCCGACTTGAAAATGTGTGTTATTTACCCAAATATGTTACATATATTTTTAAGTCAAACTAGATAAAAATGCAAACATATATTGCTATAATAATGCAAAAAGGAAAACTAAATAGCTGTATTTCTACACACACGGCCAGAAGCACGCAATCTACAGATGCAAATCATATTTTTTCTTTTTGTCAGATTGTTCCTCCTGACTGCTACATCTCAAATAATAAATCTCCATCTGCATACGCTAGCGAAAATGCCGTACTGTAATTTCTACGTGCTTATTCTAATACATAAACATTTTGAGAAATCGCAATCTACCAGATTTTTCATTCATATAAACACATTGATAAAATAGATCAGGACCAATTATTTCCCAAAACACCCCTGCGAGGAACCTTGGTTCTGTCAAAATTGTTTATTGTATAAAAAATTCTTTGTGCGTAATGTTAAATATAAACTATTGCATTTCACACTACGTAAGCGTGAACATAAGCTCAGAAGCCTTTACCTAGGTAGTATTACTAGTTTGAAAGTATTGTCTATTCATTCCATTTCATGGAAACAAGGTAAAAAAAACTGATTTTAAAACGATCAAAAGGATACTGCTATTGTTTTAACTGTGCAAGCTTATAAGGTATAGCCATGGAAAAGGCACAAACGCGTGACAGAATTGAGAATGTATTTATATCACAATGACTAATACAAATTAAAGCAAAATACTCCGATATTGTGTTTCTATTGAAATGTTTTATGCACTCGGATAATGTGTCTACTCATTAGGCAAAGAAAAGCTATAAATCAACTTTACACAATGATATATAAGGGCATCAACCAAAATGTCACATTTCAATTGTCCCTCCAAACGTCCTAATTGTGATATAATGTTACATTTGTGCCTATTTTATAGTTTTGAATCGTGTCATGTGTTAATTTAAGCTCGGGAAAAATGGAAAAAATGAGAGAGATAAAAATGATATCACCCACTTTTTTATCAATTGCGTAACATACACAGAAAACACTCTCTCACGTCTGCATCGTAGAGCGATTTCGGTTTTGTTTTTGATGTGTCATGTTTCGAAGCATGATGTTCGCCGTTTCAATCTCTCTGCCACTTGTATGGCGTTTTATGTTTTTCGGGGTGCGGATCACTGATCTCAACTTATCATCTGCTTCGGTCTTCGGTAGTTCTGTGCTAAATTCGCAGAGGCCTTCCCATAATTCTAAACCACCTTCAGTTAAATAGAACTCTTTACTTTTTACCTCCCTTCCTCCCCTTGTTTGAAAAGAAATAAACATACAAACAAAAAGAAAAAGCACCAGGAACTGGCTGCAGCACCTCACTCTTACTGCTGGGTCGCGTCACGGTTATATTGTCTTTCCATCGAAAAGTCATCGACATAAAAAATGTATATATACATAAGTTTGCACCAGTATAATGGCAGTGGCTCCATAGTTCAAATGTTTCAGGGTTAGTTGAAATAAACATGTATGACTTTAGAAACTGTCAAAGTAGGCAATCGTTTCCAATTTCATGGCCATACCGAGGAATTAACTTATATATCGTAAGGCTGTATGCAATAAGGCGCCGATAAGCTACGTTATTTTTAAAAGTCAGTTTGTAAAAATTTGTAAAATTGGACACATATCGTAATGAACTTTCATATATGCATACTTTAATTTTAACAACGCACTTATTTTTCATGCATTGCAACGTTGGTGGTACAGCCGGCTGACGTATGTCAGGCGACCACAGGATCGGAGGTTTGTTTAATCACTAGAAAACAAAAATTGTGGCCCATATGGCTATGAATAAAGCAAACAATAGATTTATTCCGCCCTCGCATCCATAGCGCCTCTAGTTGTATCTATCCCTCCCCGAATCGCGATGCAGATGATAGGAACGAGATCCGTGGTGCGTATTCGAGAGTGTTTCCGTGTCCAACCTGTGTCAGGAGCCGACCTAAAGCCAGGCGACAGGGCTAGGAACGGTGGGTTGGTGAATTCTTTCTGGAGCAACACGCAGAGGCCAAAAGGAGTGGTCCCGTCTTCGGCACAGCAATCTGCTCGGAGCAGGAAACACGTCACACAGAAGGGTGGCGTCGTCCAGAGCGCCGAGACACCATAGACACGGTCACACAATCATGAATAAGACAACACACATGCGGGAAGTCACAAGGCAAATACGTAAAACTGCTCCCCACGTGGGTGGCAAATAAACCAGACACCTAGAAAGGAATACACAGTCACTAAGGTCAGCCAGAAATAGGACCACTCAATGTATATCATGTAGCATACCATAACGTTTGCCTCTCGTCGAATGATTAATTCTTGAGGATATCGCTGATATTCTTACTATTAAGGTTCGGAAGCGACGATCTAATTAATGTCTTTAACACGCGTCTTCTACGTTAGCTGTACGACGTGTGCCAATATCTGTTTTGTTTTATTAGGAGGCACTTATTTTCGATCTGGCAGCTGTTGGCAGGGAACAATGTTCATTAGCTGGACTCGTCGAGTTTTCGTCAAATTCAAGTTACAGTTCAAAAATAACCTATTTTCAAATAAATATCTGAATCAGGTAAACCATTTTTTTATCAACTTTATATGTTAAGTCTTGTAAGTTTAGAAAAATCAAGAGAGCTTTTACATTCGGCTCACTTGTCATTATAAGTGTAACGACAACTCAATAAGGTTTTTGTCAGTACTCATGACAAGAAGTGATAGTCCATTATAAAACAACGACTCTCGCACTTGATGTTTAACGGCACGGATATACCACTATAGTTGGAAGAAAACAGCGCCCTAGAGGTAGCAGCAGAAAAGAGGCCGACATCAAGACTACGCATGAAAAAGCAGCCCTAGGCCTTCAGCAGCACAGCACAAGACAAGACTTACAGCGCAGCAGAGAAGCGCCCAGCTTCATGCATACACTACCTACAGTCACACTGCACTACAAAGCACGATACGGTACGACAAGCAAAAAAGACGCCCATCTATTCACATTCGTACCACGTACGAGTGTCTAGCTGTAGAGACCAAGAATCCAACATATTAATTAGTGTGTATGTTAATCATATTTGAATGATTTGACGAGTGTACTACCAAACATTCAAGGAACAAACAAAACAAACAAAGGTAAAACCGTTCGGTGTTTACATTGCTTCATACCTGCCTCGACGTGGAATAGCTGGACTGCGATAGGAAACACTGCGGTGTTCTATTTGAGAGTAGCCGTATTTACTAGACATAGTTATGTAGGCACGTCACAGTTTATGTCTATGACGATAACTGACGTTTCTATTTTCCTTCCCTCGAACACGCCAATACCGAACAGAAGAACTCGAATGAAAATAATACAGTGGAAACCCTTTCGTTCAGAAAGTCCATTTTAAGGTTATTTCATTTTTTACCAATGCAGCAGAGACGAAGCCGTACATTAAAGCCAGCTTGTTTAAAGGTTTGCTTTTCTCCACTCAGGCGATTTGAGACCAAATAATCGCGAAACATTCCTCTCCTTCAAATTCGCTAGGCTGCTGTTCACCAAGCCGTTGGGTATACTTATATATTCGGTTATACAGAATGCTAGAGGATACTACTTAATTGCATCATGTGCGTAATAAAATAGAATTCCCTAAATCCTGCCCTTATAAATTATAAGGATTGTCCGCTGAACACACCGCTATTATACAAATATGTCTAAGAAAAGCCGATCGAATGTCTTGAATAAGATATAGGTAGTTAATCTGGCCATACCCTAAAATGTTATAAAATCTCACTTAAAAAAAAAATCGGCAGACTATTAACCGTGATTTTCTAGTGGAATATATTTGAATCTGTACACAAAGCAGGCCGCTTCTTAGTTTAAGCTCACGTGTGTTCAAAACTTTAGATAAATTTCGGCACTTGCTCAACAATTTAGCCAGATGCGCGTGACGGAATACCTATGGGCAGGAGCCATGCTGCTCTCAATTGCCCAGTTCACGTGGCCGATACAACCTAGAAGGGAAGTATCGCTCATTGTTTTATAATAAGTGGATTCCGGGCCCGCTTCCAACAGGAAGCCCACGAAACCTTGGAAACAATTGACGGCAAAGCATCAGACACGGGCATATTGAGACTTGTATCTCACTAGGAGCACCAATCTCGTCGTGAGATGCTGCTAGGAGCGCAACCCACACGCGAGCGAGGCCACGTCACCTGGATCCAGTAGGGAGGACGCTAGACGAAGCAAATATCGCAGTTTTGGTCTCCTAGGTTGTATCTGCCTGGCTACACCCTATCGGCGTTTAGCAACAGAAGGGCTATCTCCGAAGGACGTGGTTTGTTTCCTTGGGGGATTGTCAGCCACCCGCGCCTCTCACCGTCCGAATTTCGCTTTGAGGCATCAGAGATGTCCCTGGTGACGCTGTCCTCGCTGAAGCTGGCCGGAAGCCTCCCCGAATGGACGACGTTGTCCGCGCTTGCGTTGGAGTCGCAGTGGTAGCGGCTTCGGGACATCGGGGAATGCAGATGGGAGGGAGTGGCGGGCTGCCGGTGCCGACGGATCGTGGACAGCCTGCTCACGAAAGACGTATTGTGCTTGAACCTGGGGGGCCAAGAGAGCGAGACGAGCGGATGCTCTGAGACTTCCAGCGCTCCAGGTCAACCATCATCGCCTCTTACATCACTTACTATGTGCACTGACAGTTCAAAGAAAGGCGCAGCGGGCGGCTCAGTACGCCCAAGTTTCTTACCTCGACAACCTTAGCAAATAATGCCGCAATTTGATCGACTGCGAAGCGATGACAAACCGATAGATATGAGCCCCAGCCTACCCTTCTCAAGCTGGGAGGGACCGCAAATAGCTAGGCTGTAGCGCCGAATTTTCCCTCCTTCGCCTGGAAGCGACCAGTGCTGGTCAGAGAGAGACACAAAAGCTGAGACAGTGTTCGGCATGGACAAGTGTTCATTCTTGGATAAGACGTGTTCCAGCCGTACACTGAGGCAGCATTCGTGTCCAAACTGTGTCCCGCACTGGCCGTTTCCAGGCGTCGTAGGATACGCAGCAATTCAACCTTGTTATCTTGTAGGTATTGCTATTCTCAATTGGCATAAATCACATTCTTTTTTTTCCTTGAAAGAATAGTAGTATAGAAGCTTAACGGGGGAGTCCATCAGGACCTGAGAATCCAGTGAATACCTTTACATCTAGTAAATTTCTGGTCTAAAAATACCTATCAGCCAAGGGCAAAATATTGTGAAATATCTTTTACCGCGTCCGTACGACAAGTAGAACGTTTGTATAAACCTGTGACTAAAAATGAATACATAGGATTTTCTTTTTTTTTTAGTTTCAAACTAATTTTGTTATCCTATATGCCCGAGTAAAATCGGGTAGAGGGATGACGCCGCAAAGTGGCGCAAAAAACAAATGATTCCCTTTCTCCATAATGTGTTCACCGATTTCGAAATCACCGACAAGCCACTCTTAAAGGTGTGTGCGTGCTTCGTTGCATTTTGTCGGAGAATAATTGTTATCAACCTTTAAAGTTTGCCGCTGAGGGCGGAAAACCAGGCTGCATTCTGTAATATTAGGAGCTCACACAAAACACTGTCAGAAAGTGAGCACTGAACAACCTTAATATATATTTTTTAATTAAACGTTTCCCATGAATATTTTAATTTGTCGGATTGGGTTTGGGGGACGGTTTGACTGGAAGCCCTACAAATATTGCACCTATAGAATCCCAGATTGTAGCTCCTAAAATTGACATTGCTATATTGTTAAAATATTTTAAATACAATTTCTCCTCCCCCCCGCAGCGGTTAGTGCATTGGTCGCATGACCAAACACGTATTGTGATGTAAAAACACCGTTGTGCTTCTAACGCAGAAAATAAAATCGCTTGCCTTTTGTATTTGCAGATGAAGCAACTAGACATTATTATCTTGTAGCTTTCGTGTGTTAACTTTGCTACATTCACGGAAAATATGATTTCAAGCTTTCTATCAGAACTCCAGTGTCCGCAGAAAGCCGAGAGATTGTGCGAGCATGATTCTGGTATAAATGATAAGATGGCAAATACTGGAGACGTCCACATGACCCCAATCAACTTAAAAAACACACACACACAGGAAAAAAAGAAAAACGTTACGGTATATGAAAGTATGCGCCGCAGGAGAAATTTCTCCTGAGCATGGCGCCTTTTCTAACGAGAACTTCGAATAAATTCACTTGGTTATATTTTAACAGTTGGAGCTCAACAACCTGAAACGAACATTTTTTTCTTCTTTATTTTAGTCATTAGTGCCGAGTGAATTCAATTATTTGGGACGCCGTAAATATTTATATTTTGTCCGAGTGACTCTTTTACTTACGCACTAAGTTCAGGTTCGAATTTGAGGATGCCTATATTGCGGTTTTGTATGTGCCGCATAAAGATCATTTGAAAACATCGCCGGTATTTAGCGGTATCTCCCAAGGTCCTGCATGGGCTCCCATTCGGTACTTGGCAATGTCAGATGGCAGTGTCAAGTCCAGTGCACATGAAGAGCAGAAGGTGAGCTGCTCTACGGCTTTCAGGCAGTTCCAGGTTGACGAAATGCTGTCATTTTAGATTAAGAGTAATGGATGAAAGCAAACGGCACAAACGCATGCCCCGAGCTGCAGAAGCTCTGCGGGTATATCGAATATCGCTCATTCCGCCTGCTTGACCGGAGGCCTTTTAACACCTACGGGACGCCATCACTGCGGAGCTCTGGTGTATGCGATATTGCCTTACGCTATACAGCATGTTTATTTTACTTCAAAAATATTTTTTTAGGGGAGAGATTAAGACAAGTGCCGTCTTTATGACGCATTTATCAGTCTCGGCGGATATGAGATGAGGAGAGAATCATTGGTGTAAGTTGACCAATGAACTAATATCTTATAATTAACTTTTTTTACATTATGGTTTTAGGAGTAGGTTTGCGACTGCAGCAGTGACGGACATTACTAATGTAGGGGAGATTAGTTTAAATAATTGGAAAAAAATGTAATCCTTTTCGATATATAATTTCTATACTGAGCGTTATTTCGCTCAGTATAGAAAGTTCAAAGGAAAAAAGCTCCGCATGGCTGCCCAGAGTAGTGCTTAGAAGAGTGACGTAGTCATTTCAATCACGTCGTTACTTGTGTCGCCAGCATGCCCAACGAAGTCACGCTGCCGAGAAAGTGGCATGATTGAAGCGACATTTTACTCTTCCAAGCGTCTTTGTGGTGATGATCTGCGACTCTCTTTCTTGGACGATATATTTAAATCGGGCGAGATAGCACAAACGTTAATCTATTGATTAAAAATACATTTGGCTTTTTTTTGCAATCGGTCTTACCTCTATTGGTAATTGGCGTTCAATAGTGCTATTACGACATAACCTCTAAAACAAAACTAAAATGAATTACAGATTTTAGCTAATTATGCTGCTTACCACGATGGTTAACCCGTCATCTAATGTCCCCAATGCTAATAAATGCATAGAAATCTCAGCAGCCAGTAACTTTGCGGGGAAGTAAGCGCTCCTGATTTCCTAGGGTGTAGAGTTACATAAAAAAAAATCCCAAACTCCTTTTGTAGCTGTTTAGTAAAACAAGTCACACATTTTGACGCCAGGAATGTGCAAGTTACTCAATTGAAGACCAAACAGAAACAGAAAATCGGGGTTTGCGCTGCCCGATTGTCAGGTTATGAGAAAAGCGCTTATAACTACTTCAACTTAAAATTGGTTTCCAGGACGCGGAACCTGGGTTTGTCCAGTTAGCCGAAATGTGTAGATGTTGAAACACAAAGTCACGTTGAATGCCACACCATGATGCACACCAAGATGCGTGATCCCATGAGAACATGGTGCGAGGGGTGATGTGCCACGTTGGTACTCACAAAATGCCTCCTCCAGTCGCAGGCAGGTCCAGTCTATCTTTTCTCTTTGTGCTCGTGAATGACCCGGAGGCATAGCTAGAGGAACAGTGCAAAACAGAAGCAAATGGTGCAAAGTGTGCTACATTCCAACAACAACACTTCAACACAAACACACACACACACACGTGTGGCGAGTGCAACACGCTGTCAAGCATATAAGTGAAGCATGTGGCAGGTTCAAATGTTCAGAAAAAACACACAAACATCATACCTGCACATCCTGTTACAGGATAGGTAACATTGTCATGGCGCAGGCAGTGTTAAAAAGTACGCCATACATGTACGGTACAGATTATAACACTCACTCAACGCAGAAAGCATGATTGCGCTTTAGGAAAGGAGCAATGGAAGCGCTCTGTGTTGTCTGCTCTTCCACTGTTCTTGCCCTAAAGGACAAACAAGTTTTCTAATGCACAATACCAACTCGCACAACTGTCAGGACTTATCTACTGACCATAATCCGCGAAACTAACGCATCCCGGGGTGAGGCCGCTCGATGAGTGTTCATGTGCTACCTGCAACCGTCGTCGAGCTTTTATTTAAGTTCGCTTTTGACAGCGGCACCAGCTATATTGCATTTTCGAGAATATCTATATCCATTTGGAGCGTCGTAATGCTCCTCGCCAAACTAGTAATTTCTGTACTTTGTGCGTATTAAATTGTTAAGCATTCAAGAATGGCAAACAACCATGCATTATTTCTTACTCATTGATATCCTTGCTCATTCTTTAAGAATAAGTTTTATGAAATAGGCTATTCGATGTCGTTTTGTTATCTATAACAGAATACGAAAGACTTCTGATTTTCATTCAATAAAATTTCAGAGCTCGACTTAAGGTAAGAATGAAAAGCGTGTGGGCTGAAGTTAAAAAGAGTAGGATAGTTTTGTTTTACCCTATTTATTGCTCGGTTACCAGCGGACCGCAACCGGCCAGATCCATCCCCAGATATTTAAATTCGTGCTAACATAAAAAAACATGTTTTTCGTACTGTCGAATTGTCGATGAACAATATTTCTGACTTTAAAAATTACTTCAAATTGTTCATGCAAAAGCAAACACAGTTAGCAAAACATAAAATAAATGGGATGAATATGTCAGTAATCCAATAAAGCGGGACGAAAGTAGTTTGACTCGTACTACACTTTTTATGCTCTGCTCATTGTGGTTGATATAGAAAAAGAGAGCCAGAATAATATAGTAGGGGTGTTGGTGAGCTGGTGAATGTTAACCATGTTGAATAAACCTGAGACTAAAGCAGAAATTAACAGATATGTCGAAGAAACAAGGACGTCCTGTCCTTTTCTGTTCCTTCCCCTTATATGCTGATTTCTGCCCCAGTCTCAGGTTTATTCAACATTCTGTCAGAATGCTACATTTAACGAGGTAACATAAGCTTGCTACACATGGAATGATCAATATTGTTCTCCACATAAAACTCACTGAACCGTCCCCAACTTAGATCTTCGCGGCGTGTATATGTTTCTTGTAGATCAGTTTTGCAGTTCTCAAAAGCATTGATTGCCGAGTTTTGACAACATATCTGGTTATTAAAGCTAGTAAAGCTCTGTTCGCAGTTCTTACGGGAATCCCCATACATAATGGCAACACTCTCACGTTGGTGAACATGCCGACCAGCGGAAGGTGGATTGTGATCAAATTCTGTTTGTGCAGCTGTGGTAAAAATTTCAATAGTATTCATGCCAACACACTTTAATGCATACATAAATTGAACGCTATTGTCATTATGCATTGACAGGTAATTGATTTCAATGCAAAACTTGAAGTGATATCGCTCAAACTTATATAGTTGTTTTTAATCGCCAGGCCCTCTTTCAAACCCGCCTGAAAAATCGGCGCCAACACGTAGCGGTCTCAAAGGATTAAAAAGGATATAATTTTGTAATTTAGTGGTACTGTTTAGCGTATAAAGATTCGAGGCATAAGTACTTTCCTCTGAAAAAAAACAAAAAAAGTAACATGAATTCTAGTGTCAACGGCGTACTATGATCCAGGGGGTCCAGTTAGTTAGGGTGGGTCACGTTGCGCCATCTTCTGATAAGAGCAGAGGACAAACGACACACTAAATCGAAAGCAGACGACAGCGTTGTCTGCTCGCTGCACCTACCGGGGTGTGGCGCCACACGTATGATCCTCGCTAACTCGGTCATTTACGTCGTCGTCTGCCAAATGTCGGTCCCAATTTCACACATTAAACTTTAACACAATCACTTTCCCATGTCAAATTGGATGCACCATTAAAGTGTACCAATTTGAGATGGGGAGGGGGGCAGGGGGGGGGGCGTCTAGCAAAGTTTAGTAAGTACACTCAGTCACTGCGCAGGCGAGCTGCTAGAAGTTTATTAACACAATTTTAACATCCTTCTTTATGATGACTGTACCCTCCTTTATACTTTTTTTTCCGCCCCAGTCTCAGGTTAAAGTCATCATGATAGACCAATTGTACAGTGAGCCCGGAAATCTAAAATAATTCAACATCTTGAGCCACGGCTGCATTCTGAAAGCACTTTATCTGAGACTTCGGTCTACAAAAGTGCACCGTTGAATCGATAAAAAAAAATTTAATGCACCATTCTCTTGAGATGCTCTGCACGAGGTCTTATATCATACAACACACATTGGTATATTTAATCTATCTGATTATTTATTTTTAAACACGATTATTTAAACTTACATTAGCTAATGCACGTTACCATTCTTTTTTTGTTTTTCAACATTTTGAAAATATTCGGAGCTCTGGTGATAAAACGAGTTCTACGGTGCCGACACGTTTTACGACACCTATGCCTCCAAAGTCTCTAGTTCTTTTTTTTTTTAAGAAACTGCAGTTCATCTCAATATTCAATGTCCACGTTTAACTAAATAGGAGAGATAAAAAACTTCAAATTACAACAGTTCCAATATTTCCCAGGATCTAAATAAAACTAATATGCGTAAATTGAGGTGGCCAGATCACACGCTTCATATAGAGCGTTAAACCAATTGAGAATACAAATTACTATATGCACTCTTATAACGGCCTTTCAGATGAGTAGAGCGTCTGGAGACCACTCGGTACTATGTGTGTTCTTAATCCTTGTATATTGGACGGTAACTCAAACAATCATTCGTGCATTTCTTTTTTTTTCAATTTGAATTGATTGGATATTATAAAAACTACCGATGTATTGAAAGTACTGATTTGAACCGCTAAAAATAAACGACAAACTTTTACGCCCACCGGTACCCTCGCAGGGTGAAGTGTAAAACGGCGCCGTTGCCGTGTTTCCGCTAACAATACCATGCTGTGTTAACAATATGTTTTTCTTAGTGGAAATATTCATGAAGATGTAAACTTCACTTTTTTTACTCTGCGTTGTTGAACCTAATGTTAAGAAGTACAAGTAAGCATCAATGGGTCAAATTTTTAAACGACTGTACATGGTGTTCCATGACTTTAGGCTATAAGTAACCATGACACAATGGTACCGATTTTCGATATTTGTTTCACCTGTTTTGGACGGTTGCTAAGGTCTAAAACATTAATCGTAGCCTATTTGGTTTAAATGCATGAGAATGGAACGTTTTGCAAAGAAGTCTCAGTAGAAAACTATACACTTATATTAAACATTGAGCGGCACTGAAGTGTTTAGTCTCGCGTACATTGAGTGGAGCATGGCGCAAAGATACGCCCTGAAAGAAGTCCGTAAGGTCCCTTTCCTTCAGAACACACACAGAGAGAGAGAGAGAGAGAGAGCGGTTCACGGCAAACAATATAGTGAGCCCTTCGAATCACAAAGCTAGAAATAGGATTTATTCTAAATAAGGCGATGTGCCCAGGCACAGCAAGCCAATGAAATATTATGCGTAGTATCAATGCATACATCGCCCGTTTTCGTCCAGTCATATTCCGAGCTTGACGTTATTACCTGAGATTCCTCTATCCTTAGCCGTGATTGATTGTCTCCAACTTCTAAAAGAAGAAAACCAACTCACACAATTTTTTTTCAATAGTGTATACTTGTGTCTAAAATGTTTCGAAGATATGATTCGCTTAACTGCGATACCACATTAAATCGGTGCTCCAGACTGCAAGGTGCACATTTGGACAACTTTGACTCCCTATCCGTGCAGACATTACGAGTTTACAAAGACTGCCATTGGACGCAATGCACGCGAAGAAGTCGCTTCTTTTGTGAGCTTTCCTTTCATGGAGCTCTTGTCCGTGGCACTAATTTTTCACTTTATGTCCTATCCCCAGAAAGGAACTTAAAAGGGAACGTCCACTGTAGTCTATTCGTGGACGGACGGTGGGCGTCCTTATTTGGGGAAACTTAAACAACACGGTCGCTCGGCCGAGATTATGAGGGGAGTTATCTTCTTATGACAAAACGGATCAGGGTTCCTCGAGCAGTGAAGTATCCAGCGACAGACCAGTGGACGGAAGCCCAGACGTTTCACCTAACACTGCATTATTCGTCGTCGTACCGCGATATTAGTGAGTTTTGTATTGCGTATACGACCAAACGCAAGCGCTATGCGTTTGAATTAGCGTTGCGTGTTCCACGCTGCGCATGTGCGAAGTCGCCATGCGCCAATCTAAGGCCGCGGTTTGGGCTTCGCGAACGCGCAATGTGGAATACGCAACGCTAACGCAAACGCGTAGCGCTTGCGTTCACTCGGATACACAATACTAAAACACACTAATAACTGATATGGCTGCCTATGTATTTCTCTCAGTATGGCCACAAGTATCACCTACTGCGCGCTCACTGCCCTACATCATTTTGTCGGACCTATTGTCACTGAAAGCTTAACAAAACAAAGGACTTTGGGAGTGCCGAGCTCTACGTCATTGCTCCGCTGGCAATGTCGAGGCGGCGTCAGCTGATGAGAACGCTTAATATCGAATCGGAAGGCTAGAAGCGTGAACGCGCTGAACCACGCCCTGCGTTTATTAGGCTCTCGGTGACTTACCAATCGAACCTTTTGCGCCGGACAGTAGAAACGGCACTTACTTTCGCTACCTTCGCAAAG